TTGAGCACCCTTTGCCTTTCCTGAGAAGACTGAAGCAAAGAAGGTGTTAAGTAACTCTGCCTTTTCTCTGTCCCCTGTTAACTTTTTGCCATCTTCACCACACAGTGGCCCTACCATTTCCTTCTTCTTCCTGTTGCTGCAGACATAGCCAAAAAAGCCCTTTTTATTGTTCTTAACCTCTCTAGCAAGCCTGAGTTCATTCTGCGCTTTAGCTTTTCTGACTTTACCCCTACACGTGCTAGCTATTTGTTTGAATTCCTTTTTGGTGATTTCACCATTTTTCCATTTCTTATAAATCTCTCATTTAAAACTTAGTTCAGTTGAAAGTTCCTTAGTCATCCATCCTGGTTTCTTGAGGCACCTCCCATTTTTCTTCCTCATTGGAACTGTTTGAAATTGTGCCTTCAGTATCTCCCTTTTGAGAAACTACCATCCACTTTGAACTCCCTTCTCTTTTAGTATTCCTGACCATGGGATCACCCCCAGTATTTCTCTAAGTTTACTAAAATCAGCTTTCCTAAAGTCTAGAACAGGGGTAGGCAACCTTTCCCCTTTAAGGGCTGAGGGACTTCAGCTCCCAGAAACCTCAGCCATGTTGGCCAATAGTCCCATGTTGGTCAATAGCTCCTGGGATTCTGGGAGCTGAAGTCCCTCAGCCTTTAAGGGGACAGGTTGCCTACCTCTGGTCTAGAATACATGTCTGACCATGCCTGGCTTCTCCTTTCCACTGTATAATAAACTCCAGGAGGACATGATCACTCCCGCCTAAGGATCCAACCACTTGCACCCCATTAACTAGGTCTTCCCTGTTAGTTAGGTTCAGATCCAAAATAGCTGAATCCCTTGTTGCCTCTTCCACCTTTTGGATAATGAAATTGTCATCAAGGCAAGTGAGGAATTTGCTAGACCTTGAGGATTTTGCTGAGTTTGAATTCCAGCAAATATCAGGATAGTTGAAGTCACCCATCACTACTATATTTCTCCTTTCTGAGTGTGTGGTCATTTGTTCTAGAAAGGCATCATCCAATTCCTCTGGCTGAGTCAGAGGTCTGTAGTAGACTCCCACAATAAAATCCCTGTTGTTTCCCTCCCCTTTAATTTTTATCCAGATGCTCTCTACCTGGCTTCCAGGATTGATGTCCTGGATTTCTTCACTGGTGTAAATATCCCTGACATATAATGCTATTCTTCCCCCTTTCCTGTTTTGGCCTGTTTCTCTTGAAAAGTTTATACCCTTGTATTTCTACATCCCACCAGGTTTCAGTGATGCCTATTATATCATACTTGTTTTGTTGTGCTAGGAGTTCAAGTTCATCTTGCTTATTTCCCATGCTCTGTGCATTAGTGGAGAGACATCTAAGACCATATGTCCCCTTTACTTGCTGCCTGTGCACTTTTTTTGCCTCCCACTGTTGGGTCCTTGCACTGTTTGCCTTGTTCCCTCTATGACAGCTTTACTGTTTTTTTCTAGTCCTTTTGTCCTCCAGAACACTGTTTCCGATCCCCAAATAACTCAGTTTAAAGCCTCCTGATCAAATTCTTGAGACTGTTGGCAAAAACATTTCTTTCAACTGGCGTGAGATGCAGCCCATCCCTTGCCAAGGAATCCGCCCTCATGGAATCGCAGCCCATGATCTAAGAATCCAAATCATTCTTGGTGACACCATCTGCAGACCCAGTTGTTGACATCTGCTATTTTCCTCTCTCATCCTGGACCATGCCCTTGAACTGGCAGAAGAGACGAGATGACAATCTGTGCCTCCATTTCTTTCAGCTTCTTACCCAGAGCCTCGTAATCCCTTGTGATGTTCTGAAGACTGTGTCTTGCTGTGTCATTCGTTCCCATATGGGCCAAAAAGAAGGGGTATTGGTCAGTAGGCTTGACCAGTCTTGTCAGCCTCTCTGTCACATCTTGGATCTTTGCCCCGGGGAGAACACACCTCCAGAGACATCTTGTCACACCCACAAATCACTGCGTCTGAACCCCTCAGCAAGGAGTCCCCCACCACGACCACACACCTCCTCCAAGGTTTAGCAGTGACTGTTCCCTGTGGTGGAATTCCCAGGGTCCCCTGTTCTGTCCCTGAACTCTGTCCATGCTGCTCTTCCTTGTCTTCCTTGATAGGGGAAAGAGCTTCAAATCGATTCTGTAGCTGTAAGCTCCCAGAACGATCCCTGGTCTCCCTACTTCTATGTGTGACATTCTTCCAGGTGTCCACCTCCTGTGTACATGAAATGACCTCCTCCTCAACAACTTCCTCTGTGTGGTTCCTGTCCAAGACCATTCTTTCCTTCTGTGCATGACATTCCTCCAGTTGTCTACCTCCTGTGTATGTGACATAACCTTCTCTTCCCTAGCAACTTTCTCTGTGTGGTCCCTGTCCAAGACAGTTTGTTCTGTTCTGTCCAGGAAAATCTCTTGCTCTCTAATATGTTGAAGTGTAGCTACCCGCACCTCCAGTGCTGTACTTTCTCCTCGAAGAGGGCTACCAACTTGCACTTGGGGCATGTGAAGTTCCCCACCTCTGTAGGCAAGAAGACAAACATCCCACAAGTATTGCAGGTAATGGCAGCAGTTCCCTCAGTGTTCATACTGAGAAGTTTTAATTAGTCCCTGAAACAGGACTATGGCCTTCCTCCTGAAAGAAAATCCGTCACTAAACACCAGTGTTGAAGGCGCCTGATGACCTGAATTTTTCACCAATCGCTGCTGGTGATAAAGATTCTGCTCTCCTCCTCCTCCTCCTCCTCTCTAGCAGGAACTGGCCTAGAAGAGTCTAGAAGAGCTAGACTGCTACCTCCACCCCCTAGTGACTCACAAGTGTGACTCACAGAAGCTCCACCCCCTCAGCAACAACAACACACTATCTCCAAGAGTTTTTAAAAGTTCAAAACTCACCCCCCTTAAAATGGCTGTCCAGGAACTGCTCTCCTCCTTCTCTTGCTCCTCTCTAGCAGGAATTGGCCTAGAAGAGTCTAGAAGGCTCTGAGAGGAGTT